AATACATGACCTGGAGGAAGGCAAGAGAAAAGCCTCAGGGCCAGGAAAGTGCTTTGCAGCTTTATTTGAAATTCTGCTATTATCAAATCTGAAAAAAAAAAAAAAGAAGAAAAAAAGAAAAAGTGTTCTCCAGGCTTCAGCTGAATCGTTTCCCAGTTGTACTTAAGTAGCGACTATGCAGGCAAGGTCAATTAGTCTCATTTTAAAAAGTTATGAGAACTAATCAGAAAGTTTTTCTAAAACCTGTTGTAGAAAACATACACACAGGATAAGGATGGAGACTGGGAACTGTATTCGTCAATAAAGCCAGAAGAGCAAAATTCACTTCTAAGTGAATTTAATCAAAATAAACACCAGTGAAGAAGAAAAATCAAATCCTCACAGTGTTCATAAAGAGGAATTTGTAAAGACATGAGGCAAAAGTGATGTTGGTGAAGTATTTTAGGCAATTGCAAGGAAACAGACTGAGATCACGCTACAGATAAATCATATTTATCAGTGTAGAAAACTTTGCAGTTGCTCAGTGCCAAGGTATATTCATCACTCATGTCTATTTTAGTTTGTAATGTTGCTCTTCTACTATTTTCCCACTTCTTTGCTCCTTTTTGCCATTCTTTATTTTATCAGTTCTATTTTATATTTTAAAATTCTTGAAAAAAGTCATTTGTTATTTATTATTTTTATTACTCTGTAAAAACTCATGCCAGTATATGAGATTATGAACTTCCTGTCATTGTCTTCAATAATTTCTATGTCACTTGGTACAAAAAGAAAGTCAAGGCAAGATTAACAGAAATTGCAATCAGCCACCTTGAAGAAATGCAGCAATTTACTTATGAACTTCTAAGGTTTCTTACCTTTAGAAAATATTTCTTATGGATTTATGTAAGATTCAGATCACATAAATACAGTCCTTTAAACAACATGGGATGGGGTAGAAGGTGTCATATAAGGATATTCCCCACACTGAGGGAAAAAGCCATGCTAAGGACCGCACATCCTCTCTTTTCCTGTTCAGGCAATCTTACTCAGTCTGCAGCTCCTAATGAGACTTCTCAAAAATAAATATTTTGGAAGGGTTTGTACCATGAAATCATCTGTTCATGTCTTCTCAGCTTTCTCTGTACATTGTGTCTGTTGTATTTCAGATGCTGGTAACAATTCTATGTATGCTTACACAGAAATGTGTTTATTCATTCAATCTTTTCTTGCTATCTTCTGTACCTATTTTTTTATTAACTGTTCCCTCTTCTTCAGGGCTTAGTAATACTCCCTTTATCTACTCTACTGATGTTCTTTTCTTCATAACAAAAGACAAATTTACTGATAATATGAAACTCCTACTGTTTTTAAGCTTAGAGAGTGAAATACTGACCCAAATGAAATCAACAGAACTTGACTCTTGCTGATGTCTTTAGTACCAGGATCTCAACTGTAATTTCAAAAAGGAGCATGAGAAGTTAGCTACCATACTCCTAGAAGACTGCCAGAAGCATTTGAAATCAGACTAAACAAATTTGGCTGACCTGGGATTTTTTCCCAGGCACAATTCTTGATGAAGATACACCCAGTATAAAAATATTTTCAGTTCCAAAATTATACTCGTAAGAAGATTCAGATATGCAATGATATGCTGTGCTGGTTTAAAAGTTAACCAGCAGGGGGAATGAACTCAACTCAAAGGAGAGATTATAAGTCAGAATAACAATTTATTAAAATAATACAGTAAGTACAATAATACAAACAAACAATTGGTCTCAACCCACAAAAACCCAAATGTATAACCCAGTACCCTGGGGCCTGAACAAAGTGGTGTTCCTTGGGCCCTGTTTGAGTCCAAAGTAAAGGGAGAGGGGAAGAACCTGCTGGTGGGAGAGCTGCTGCAGTCTGGGCAGAACTGGTGATCGCAGTCCAGTGGTGGTCTAAGTCTGGTTGAGAGCGATGAGATGCAGCCGTCCTCTGGATCCCACGAGTGGGTTCGAAAAATGTTCCAAAACTCCAAGATTATATATCCTCCAGTTCAGGCAGGAATGCTTGGTATTCTCCTCAGGGCGGGGAGTTCACAAAGGGTGTGAGGACAGAAACATCCTTCTATCTCACAGGCCTCTTAACACCTAGTTTATAGCCTGAGGAGTCAGGCTCTATGGGCAGAGGGTGCGAATAGTCTATTGACAACAATAGTCTAGTTTCTGGGAAATGACATGGAAGGCTATAGAATACAGTTTTGGGTTACACCCACCATGATGAACTGATCTCAGCTGTCCTAACTAGGACATATGCAAAATCAATATACACATTTATTTTTAAATGTACATTTACAAATCCATCAAAACAACTCATTTTTTTGCAGTGCCTACTAACTTACATGTTTTATTGATATATAAAGTTCTTTTAAAAAAAAGTGCCTTGCCTTGCCTTGCCTTGTTTTCTGATTGTACTGACTAATATCTCTGGAATAAAAGTGAAAAAACAGAGGGGGAGACCCAAACCAAAATCACCAATGTTACCAGCCCCTTAGTGTCCCTAAGTTCTTGAAAGTTTTTTTTGTTCTGAAAAACCTTGACAGGTGATCCACAGAAGGCTACTAGAAAGGCTAAGTAGTCTTGAGGTAAAAGACAAAAGAAATCGTCAGTCAATGACTGGGTAGAAATTGCTAATGAAATCAGAGGATTCAACAGCATTATATTCCCTCTTGCATCAAAACTTTATGAAGATATACCTTTACTTTCTGTACCAAGTTTGATATTCTTTAATATATGTGCAAGTGATTTAGAATGTGGCAAGGGGAATATCAAGGCAGCTGAGTTTGTAATGAGATAGAATAGAATTAGAAGGTAGTGTGAAAAACCTTCAGAAGACCTGAAAAACTGCAGTGAATCATAATGACAAATGAACATCTATACCAATGAAAACAAACAGTAGAGGTGAAACAATGAAATATTTTAACCACATTTAGGGTTTAAAGTAATGATTGCAGGTTAAGAAGTACACATGAATGTCATTTCCACCCAGTGTGCAGCAGTAATTGGAGGTAAAGGAAATATTTAACAAGATTACTGAAGAATGGGATAAAAAAAATAAATCCAAAATTGTTAGAATACAATAATAGCAGGCAGTGTCTCACCCTCAGTTGGACTGCCATCACCTAGTCTCCTAATTAATGGAGCAGAAGAGAACACACAATGCAAACTGAAGAGGTTACTGACTATTTAAATGAAAATTTTAACTCTTTTCACTAATGGGAACAGAAGTGAACATGATAAAATATGCAAAGCTATTATTTCTTCACAGAAAATCTATCAGAAATTTCTATTTGCTCTGTTTAGAGTGCAAGAATATCAGTTAGTCATAAAAATGAAAAGGTGGATAGGAAATACAAATTCAGTACAAAAGTCCTTTTCCATACAGTGCACAATCACACTGTGTAATCAGTTGATATTACTGAAAACACAAATTTTAGAAATATTTTTTCCAATGTATTGGAAAGTCATACGAGTAACATCGATATCAGATGTGTGGCAGTATCTCATGGTTTGAGAGCCCTAAAATCCAATTCCCTAGTTCTAGCCCCTTCCCACATCTCAACCTGGTGTGAGATGGGTTTTCCAGACACCACACAAGACTCAAAATGGGAGGAAGGGAATATATTACAATGACTGTACAAAATAAATACTACAATACACTATATACAATCTTAGCTATCTCTACCATGACAAAACAGTATTTACAATGGATCAAATCTCTCCTCCCTTCCAGATAAAAGTCCAGGAGGGAAGAAGGAAAAGATCCTTTCCACTCTCAGAGCAGCAGTGTTTTCAGGGCAGCAGCCTATCTCACTTCATGCAGCAGTTGTAGCTGGATCTCTGCCAGTACACACGAGGGGGGTATCCAAGCCCCTCTCGGCCCTTCGTCTCCAAGTGAGGGTCTTCTCATCTGTGGGCTGTGTTCACCTGGACAAAGGTCACTTCACCACGTCATACCACGAAGCACAGGGGTCTTCGTGACGGTCCATATCTTCAGGGGATTCAAGCCCCTTTGCAGAGCTCCGTGCTCTGTCTCAAAGCAGCGGGGGGGGCAAAGGCCCTCCTTTGCATTCCTTTGGCTGTCCTGGTCCAGCTTCCAGGATGCCTGAGCTTCTCAGCTCCTCTCTGCAATGCTGCTGCATCTTAGGGCTTCCATTCAGTAGGAGTCCATCCTCTCCACTTAGGAGAGGTCACAAAAGGAGTCTGAGGGTTTTGGTTCAGTTCTTACCCCAAAACGCTCTCTCTGTAGAGCTTAGTTCTGCTCTCTCTGCTGCTGACTCTCTTTCCTTCAACAACTCTGTGTCTCTCTTCCTTGGCTACGTGCTGTTTCTGCTGCTTCTTCAGTTCTTATCTGTTGGCTCTCTGCCACCTTCCCTCGGTCAGTGCTGTTCTTGCTGCCACTTCTGCTCACAGAGGAGAAACATTCCCCAGCTCATAGCTACAGGTACTTAGCCCAGCCTTACGCTGTTCCAAGTCCCTGTAGCTCCCCAGTCAGGGCTGGGGGGCGAGGGGGCAAAGCCCCCCAGGGGGGCTCCTGCCCCTCAGTTCATGGTTCTACAACATGGCTACTCCTCCAACAACAACTACAACAACATAACCTTCTCTTCCAGTCTGCTTGTGATATGTTTATATTTTGCAAAAGCGGTCATTGGCTCAAACCCCAAGGGTCACCACCCCCTGGGGATTTACCATTTTATAGCTTCAGGGGGAAAACTGTTTTCCCCCACCACACCTTGCAAGTGTTTTCTTCTGGTAGACTGGAAATGGCAAAACACAGCCTGTACAATGAGTGAGGTGGTTTTCATGCAATGGCAATAAATCTGCCTTTGAGAGGCCTGTGCTGGCCATTGGTAGAAAGAGAAAGAAAAGATAAACAACACATACTTCTAATTCCTCTTCTACTATTATGATAGTGATCTATTATTATGATCTACCTAGTGTGTTTGGATGAACAAATCCATCCAAAGAACATCGAAATCTAGGAACCTGTGTCCATTAAAGTAGAGGTATTTGCCCTTGCACTTTCTTCTCTTGCCTGCTATCATCTCATGTCCTACTTCAGATCCGTGGTACAAATGCATAATCCCAACCACTTCCATTCACAGTCCTTCCCCAGAGGTACATATTGAACACCCTGGAAAAAAAGGAAAAGGCTGTTGACATCATAATCAGCATGGTTCTCCTGTAAGCTCAGTTTGTGACTTTCACTAGCAAGTTAAAGAATAACCTCAAACTGTAACTTACTCTTGACTAAAATTTCACTCTAAATTTACTTGGTTCTATTCCAAGATTTAAAATACTGCAAAATTAGGATTAAATCTTTTAATTATGGAGGCACAACTATTTTAATGCAATTTCTACCCTTCTCCATTTGCCAAGACTAGGAGTGGCTGGATTTTTTCATCTCTTTTTCTACTCATCTTTTAGTACAAATCTTATTGTTTCAGTTTCCCCTGTTTCTGGAGTAGAACCCAGTGACGGCCAAATACACACAAAAATGTGCTGGCCACACATTAGCATACTAAGGGTAACTCATAGAAAATTGTTGGTTTTGATAATCCATGTCTGCTGGCTGTCCTACAGGTGAGATAAGTAGCAGGAAAGACACTGGTGTGGTTATTGGGTCAGTTTAGAAACCCACCTGTCTACACTGAAGTGCCACCAGAGTAGACAGAGTCCCTCAAATGCATTTTTGGGCAGTAGAAACACTCTCTCAGAGAAGAGCTGAGTGAAGCTGGAATCTAGAGCTAAAACTAGGTGTATGTGTAAGTCAACATTGTAGCTTTTGAGTTTTAAAAAATTAAACACTACAAAAAGTCTTATTCTGCTAGAATTAAACTTTCTCCCAAGGGGGCATCTCAAGATCAACTGCTGGTCAAAACCAGTCAGAAAATGGAGAATTTCAGTGCCTAAGCATATGTAATTTCTAAGCAGCGTGCATGTCTGTACATATCAATTATTTACACTGCAAATACAAGGTAATTATTTTTTAAAAATCCAATGACATTAATTTTCTCCGATGTGTTTTATATTTGCATTTGTGTGTTTATATCCACTCTTACTCCACGGATTCTGTTGACCTCACATACTACTGCTAGTACCATTAGAGTTTTCTTTTCTCTGTCCAATGCTGCCATTTTTTGTTGCTGTTCCATCATAAATAAAACACAGACAAAATTTCAACTTGAGAGGATCAGTAGGTTGTCTTCTTACTTGTCATATAGGATCCATATATCTAGAAAAGAAATAATCTACACTGTTCTACCATTCCATTCTGGCTTCATGAGGAAAAAAGTGAAACAAATTTTTGCTTGTTTTAAATGAAACCTAAATTCTAAATATGGATTCCTACTTGAATTCCTAGTCAAACAAGATGCTACAAAAGAACTAATCCAGAAAATCAAACAAGGGTAAAAAGAAAGTGTTTTCAATTTCTATGGTTTTAGTTCCATAATATTTACTGACTTTGTATTCATCTGATTAAAGAAACAATTTCCAGAGAAATTCAGATTTCACTTTTATTAGACTTTTTAAATACCTTTCTCAATGTTTTGGCTGCAGTGAATAGCTGAAAGACTAAGTATAAAGGTACATAAACAACAATAATCCTCAAATGTACTACTACTTTTTTTTTTTTAAATTCTTTAAAGGTAAACATTCTCTTTTTTAACCAGCTACATGGGGTTTGTATGCTCAAAGGAGATAGACTTTGAAAAGGCTGCAGTCCTTACCTTCAGGACAAGTACATAGTTCAGAAAGAAAAAACAGACTCACTTTTCATAGAACAAAAAAGTAGTAACCATATTACTCCTACCCTCAGAGGCAAAGAAAGCTGAATTGCAGCTGTCCCTTGGCTTTCTCTCTAAAGTAATACAAAGCCTTGAACTATACCTAAGCTGTGCAGACTTAGCTTTCAAATCTCCATGGTTAGACTATAAAAATGAAAAGCAAAATGAAAGCTTGCGAGAATGAACAGGTTATTTCAGGGAACGGTACCGCAGCATGAAGTGCCACCTGCTGTCCTGAGGTTACAAATTCTCTGCTCCTCTGTCACCTACAGCTCTCAATGCAGCACACCCAGCTGCATCCCACAGCAGCACACAGACCACGGGCACCCACTGCATCAACAAGGCAGCTGCTTTCCAAGGTAATACTGACAGTGCTTAGTCAAAAGAGCAATTCCCTGTCAACTCTGCAAGGCAGTTAAAAAGCACAGCTAATTATAAACCAATCTAGGATCCTGTGTCCATTAAGTTTCTGTTTAAACATAGGAGTTTGTAAGCAACTCATCTAAGTGAAATGAATTCCATAAATAGGTTAAAAACTAATCTTTTCCCAACCAATTGAGTCAGACTGAAGTTTATACTTCTCTCTTATAATGAATGCAACATGCAGATAAAATTAAGCATGACTGTAAGAGAACTTTAATGCAGGAGAAAAACCTTAAATGAATTACGTATATACAGTAACATAATGCAGTTCCTTTGCCAGTGAAATAACAAGAGCATGAAACCTCCTAAGGAAAAACAAGTTTTCTACTTGCAAACAACCCAGGCAGGCAGCAAGAATTTCCGCTTATATGTATCATTGTTTGCCCTGCCTGTGCAGATAAACTCAAGAATGTTAAGTCTTTCTAAAGAATCATTCACCAGCATGTTTATGTTATACTTCAATTTTCTGAATATACATTATTCATCTTTTTAACAAAAACAACTCCTTCGACTCACTGATAAAAGAAAGACAAGGACTAATAGCTATCCTCAATAATTGCCACATAGTGCTACTTCAAGTAAGAAGGAAGAGAAACCAGTAATGGCATGATTTATTCAAGGTTAACATTATATTCAAAATACAGTCTACAATTATTTTTTTTTCCATGGTACATTATACGTGCATGTTGTAGACTGATTCTTTTTCTTCTCCTAATGACTTCCCAGCCTGCCTTTAAACCACATACCATCTCTGCCACATCAGTTACTTAAACAATTAGGGTACAATTTAACAGCATGTTTAGATGTCATATAACTGGCAGAAATAAAGAAATACTCTTTGCTTTATATAAGCCTTATGAAAACATGAGCACTTTTCAAGCATCCAATCCCACATGATCAATGCAGAACACTGGCCATTGCCAAAAGCAGAGCCTGAAAATTTCACAACAGTCAAATTTGATTCATTGTGACTATTAAATACCTTAAGACAATTCTTAGATAAAGGAACTATTTCTAATATGAAGATATATGTAGTTTCTTCAAAAATTTGTTTCTGAATACTCTCCTAGAATTACAGTATTCTAAATGCATTAATTCCTAGATCTAATTTTAGCAATCAGCATGTTGGGAGTTGTTTGACACTAAGCTAGTCATCTTCACTTGATGAACTGTACTTTACAATACACTACAGATCTGTATTTTGCATTTTATTTGTGACAAGATCAATAGAACCTCAAATGCACAAGGATGGCAGAATTCAAATTTGTCTAAAAATGAAGTTTTCAAAATTCCTGCAATAAAGTTTACATCTGGATTATTTAGCTTGCCATACACATTAAATCCTGATGAATTCATATCAAATTCAAATACATAATGGATAATTTGTGTTATCAAAGGAAACAGAAACATTGCCATTTTTCAAGTTTGAGCAAGTCAAACAGTAGGAAGTTTTCTGCATTGACCTTTGCACATTGATAACAGTATTTTTTAAGATACCTTAGATTAATGCCTGCTGATTTTATCATAATAACCCATCTGCTTTACCAGTTGTTACACATTCAGAAACAGAAAGCACAGTTTATAATACCCACACCAAAAAATAACAACAATACAGAACGCTGTATTAACCCAAGCACGCCAACTCTATGAAATTACTATTATGAAAGTTATATTGATTCTGTTCCTTACTTTCTGCTCGACCATTGCCTAAAGGAAATTTTCATAAGCATATAAGTGAACAATAACAGTATTAAGTCTAAAACTGCTGATAAAATTCAACAAGATTTTCAAGAAACATATTTGAGAGATGTCTAGCTAATTTACCTCTCATTGTATGTTATTCGACATTTTCCAATAAAACTCCTTGAAAATAAATATATTTCACAAATTTTAATACTGATTCCTATGAAAATTGCAGAGCAATAAACTATATATAAGGCTCATATATAATATATATAATGTTATCAATATTCATAAAATAAATCATATTACTTTACGTTTCATAACATATAGGGTTCCTTGTGACAGGCTGTGATTTTTTCTTAGTAGGTTTTCCCAAAGTACTAACTTCTGACATCTACTGTGATATTCTTTCTCCTGCAGAAATAAATCACTTTACTCTGACCTGGTCGCAAGTGGCCACAGCCTATAGGACTTCTTACAAAGAAAAGTCAAAGGATATTTTTGTTGTTAAAAAAATTCCCTCAACTCTTAAAGCCCTCCCTTTCATGTTTTGTACTTCAGCATCAAACTAGAAATGTGTCCCTGTTATAAGTAAAAAAATTTCTTCTATAAACAACACTCGTAATAATTGTAAGTTATCAGAAATCAGTTCTGTGTCTGTAAATGCTATCTCTCTGGGATAATATCACAGGGATGGGGAAATGGATATGAGAGGAGGATGGGACAGGGTGTGGATGTGGATCTGCAACAGAGAGTTCATAGTGTTACTTTCATTTCTTTGAGAGCAGCCTTCCGTTCATCTTTCAGGCTCCTGTGTCAGACAGTTGTCTATTCCAGAACAGGGAAAAGGTGACAATATTCTTGGCTTCCATTTCAGAGGGTCTTGAGCTTCAGGAGAGGTGGGCAGGGGAGAATAATATTGCAGGTCTACAACTTAGCTGACAAGCTGCACTTTTGTCATCACTGCACTTTTGTCATCACTTTGTCATCTTTGCAGCTACTCTTCTAAAATGTGGAGCTTACAAATCAGCCATATGGAAGAATTTTTCTCCATAGATTGGCTGGGATAGCCAACTTCTGATTCACATTAATGATAAGAAATATCCTCTTCTGTGTTAGCTTCTTTAAAATCTCCTTTGCATAGATCTGTAAAAGGCTACACGTTGGCTTGGAATGCCGTGCTTTCTTTTCAAATATCTCTGAAATATCAGTGTTTCTGGTGGGCCAACACAAAGTAAAAAACACAATCTCAATCCCTCCCATAAAGCTAAACATATTTTATTAGAATTATACTCCCCACACTGTACCTCCAATCAAATATTTTTATTTTTTGGAAATTAAAAAGACAGAAACCCCACAAATACTTCCTTTGTTGTGATAAGTTGTTTCAATACTAGTTGTTCATTACCTCTTTAATATAATCAGGCTCACAAATAAAGGCAGGTGAAATACTGTAAACAGTGTTCTGCCATGTATGACAAGTGTGGGAGGAAGCACATTTTATAAATAAATATCTTGAAGGACAGGCTGCATGCCCTGGAACCCGAATACACAGGTAGTGCTGCAGTGACAAGAAAGAAAACAAGTCTCAGGCAATACCATGGCCAGTATAGCAAACTAGACAGTACCAAGCAAGCACTACTGAAAACTAATGAAGCACCTGCTCAGACTGATACCAAACCTCCAAAATCCCCAGATGGACTCTACACTTAGGACACATCTCTCTGCTAGACTCAGTATAAGCAGGAGCACATGTGATTTTATAAAAGCATCGTTTACAGACAAACGGCCTCTGCACCTCTGTTCTCTGTGCAGATGAAAATAAAGACTGGAAAGGAACAAAATAAACAAGAGCTTTTTAGGCAGCTGGTTCCTGCACCACCAAGTCTTCCTGAGCATTTTGTAAATACTTCTAGTTAGTATTATAATTTTTTCATATTGTACCTTATCTGACAGTGTAAAATTCCATTTACTTCTTGTTAGCAGTCAGTGGAACTAATGCCAGGGCTCTGAATTTGTTTTTACATATTTTTAAGCATAAGAAACCCTGCCCTTTTGCTTCAGTACTTACTTGTCCATCCAGTTGCAAGAAATGTAGCTATGTCAGGGTGGTGTATTAAGTATCCATGCAATCTACACAAAACAAAAGGCTCACCTCAGGTCCTCAAGTTAGCAAACACAGAGTTAACTTTAAATTTATGTTTTCTTTGGAAATATATAAGTCCTTATACAATAAATGTAATTAAAATTAGTCACATTCAATAAGTACTGGTTATCAATTTGCTCCCAACTCAGTACAAAGATGCACTTAATGCATCAGTCTAAGCTGTTTCCTGTGAACATTCTTCTACTTACAGTTGTGGGGACCTACAGTATTCATCTAATTTCCTGCCCCAGACCCACTTTTTTGTACTTGGTATGAAAACACAATTGCCGCATCTATCTTGTCCCTCGTGCATGCTTTGTCTGCAGCTGTTGCATCCAGCATTTTACTGGGTTTAGATTTTTACTGCTAGCTGCAAGCATCATAAATAGTAGTCTTATACTAAGAAGACATTTTAAAAATATATATATGGTTTGACTAGTAACAACCCCAAAGTCAGAGCTGTGGAAGACAGCTGTTAGAGTCAGAAAGAGAAGGTAAATTGTCTTACACTGACTAGATGGGAATGACTCCTAGAAAGCCTGTGGAAATGCTAGTTTGATATATGAATAACCAGCATGCCCAGAATAAGTTAAATAGGCAGAAGCTTGTTTAGGTTCCTTTCAAGGCAGGATTAGAGTAAATACATTCTGTTTAAGAAAAACAACAGGCCTGAACAACAAGATACTATCATAGTCAAAGTAACCTTCAAGCCCGGAACCTTAGAAAAGCTCCAAAGACAGTATGTGCCATGAAGAAGAGGAAGATGAGGAAGAAAGGAGTCTTGGGACTCCTGCCTCAATTCCGGAGAAGTGTGCCAGGGGGCATATTTGGGGAGGACCTGGGGGGCAAATAGTTCTGAGATTGGATGGATAATACTATAAAATTATAGAACCACTGGACACAATGCACTTGCCTTTTTTTACTCCTTGCACCAGCAGGCCTTAATTAAAGACCTGCTCTATATTTTATCTCTACTAAATTAGCCTGGTGAGGTTTTTTTGCTCTCGATTTTTAGGCAACAATAAGAACAGCTCAGAATTCTCAGGGCATTGATAAGTTATAAGGAAGAACTGTGAGTATGTGCACAGAGCACAACTCAAGAGAAAAAACTGTGATCAGGAAACATACAGAAGCTTTAGTGAAACAACTGGGAATCAAGATGACAACTCAGAAGCAACAAGAATCAGGGCATTCAGGGTATGGCAGAGGGCCACTCTTCCCTTCCTGACTTATAATTTCTGGTCAGCAAAAACTCATTGTTAGCTCAGTGGAGATAAAAAAGCATAGCAATGCTTACTCTAGGAGCTCGTTAGTCCTGCCTATCTATTGCACATATTCAACAAATAAAAAATCTGCTTTATGCCTTTAAGTGGTGTCTACTTTGCTAACCTGCTTTAAAGTTACTTGAACAAGTTGATACACTGAGGGAGAGTTACACAAACCATCCAAAACAGCCCTAGAAGACCCAGTGTTCAGGCTAATGTCCATACAGTGACATCTCAGTGCAGCCAACAAAGCCCAGGTAGATATTCTGCTCAGTGTTGGTTGGATCTCCACTGACTAAAAAAGGAGTTTACACATATCGCACTCATGTAGATGCTGAATTTCAGGTCTCTGAATATCACCTGGCCATGGTGTCACAGGCAGATTTACAGTTGCAGGAAGTGATAGGGCCTTTTTTGCCCCTCCTTTTTCAACTCTAATCTCCAGTGTCTAGATGTAGCCCCAGCATCATCCTGGTGGTGCAACTGCTACAAGGCAAAGGAAAAAGAGACAAGTCATGTGGCACAGCAAGATGGGACAACACCACTCTCTTCAGATGTCTCGGTCCATGTCAGGAGGTGGTTCATCCCAGTCACATGGCTTCGGCACGCTGTAGTCAGGACCTTCACCATGCCTTACCGGGTCTGGGCTCAATCCCATCCTGAGCTCTGTCCCAGAGTGTTCCTGTCATCTCATAAGTATCTGCTTCTAGGTATTGTAAAGAAAAATTATGATAAAAACACTAAATGCTGGTAATTTCAGGCACTTTGAAAGAAATTAGAGAAAAATAATATTTTTTATCTTGGATGACAGTAATATATTTAAGCTTTCTCTCTATGCAGTAGGAATTTAAATGAGTCTTTATGCAAGCTCTTTGTTATCTAGCCACTATTTGATTCTTATGCCAGAAAATCTGGCAGTTTTCTTAAAAGATGGTTTTATTCCCTGTAGACAATAAAAATAGTCACTTTTTAAAGTGTTTTTCTATATATTATTATCATTTTCTTAACGAATAATTTTCTGTTATCTGTTATCTCACCTGAACATACAGGCAATTATCTTGTTATATTACTGCTTTCCATAATTTAATTTTCAATTTGATTTTTGGACCAAAGCCACTCTTTATATCTCAGAAATCAATTTTTTATGGTCTCTATTACTTATCTTCTTAACAGCCTCTATCTGCAAGTCTTTTTTTTTGATCAACTAAAGCACATAGTGAGAAACTATCACCCAAAAATCATATTTTCTTTTTTTCATTAACTTTTCTCTAGACTTCCTCCACTTTCTCTGTCAGAAACATTCCACTATCGTCAGAGATCTAATATCATAATTCTGTTTTTCTTTTTCCTCTTCCCTCCTTCCCACTCATAGCTTGTAATTTGATCTGTGACAGCTTTATAAAAAAAACAAGTCTGATTTTAGTAACTCTGTCATTCCACGTTTCACTAAATAGTTATGCAGAACTGAGATCCAAATACTCCCAAATTTGGAAAAAATCAGATTCGTGTTCAAATTGTTCTGCATTCTGTTATAGAGAAATCCTCCAAAAATCCACTGTGACATAGGGCACAAGTCAACACACTTTTAGGAAGAGCTGCATTCTTTCCTAAGCCAAAAAAAATGGTTTACTACTAAGAGCGACTAAGGGAGAATGTACAAGAAGAATTAACATTTCTGGGCACAGAAATACTTATCAGAAACAGAGCCAGCTTTCATTATCACTGTTAAATGTACAACTGAGACCAATGTTACTATCTGTTTTGTATGTATTGTTTGCCCTGGAATACTTGTGAGAACCAAGTCACCCTCCAGCACCACCTGTTGAGAGTGCTTTGATCACACTATATAGATGACTCCAGCTTTTTCTTGGAGTCATTTTGGTTTATTTGGAATGTCTTTTCCCTGAATATCACTCTCTGTTCCTTGGGTTATTAGGTATGTACCTGGTTACTGGCTTCTCATGGGACACTTCTGTTGTCTGTGTTGCCACAGCACACCAGGTGGCAGGGATCAGTCTCTCTGAGATTTCACTGGTGACCCATGAATGCTGTCAGAAGCATCTCATCTTTTGCACAAAACAAAACTAAGATATTTCTTTCAAGATTTAGACCCTAAGGACAACAGGTGACCCATAATGTGTGGGGCACAGCCCTCCCAACACACTGAAGCTGAGACACTCAATTGATAGAATAAGTCCATTACAAGGCCCAGAGAGTTTAAAATCAGAAAGTATTTAGTTTGACTAGAAAACTCTTGATAGCACAGAAATAAAAGCAGAACTGTACGTTTTTCTAAGGTACAAACTAATGGTTTAAGGAAGTAATGATAGGAAAACAGCTCTCTCAACAGAAATACAAGAAATATCAATGACTCAACAGTGCCATTTTCCCATGACAGGTATTTGGGTGGAACTAAAGGATGACAGGACAAAACACTCCACTGTTCTTCAAAGAGAGAAGCTTGAGGGCATGAATTGTGCAGGACACATTGCTGCTGAAAGGGTGGTGCATCTACAGTGAGCTTCATGTCAGCTCATGCTTGAAAATCTACTACGTGTCCCTTTCCCACATGAATTCCAAACCATCTGAAAACAGAGTTCAAGGTAATCATAGAGCTTTTTAAATGCAATGTCATTTACAGTCACCTTACCAAAAAGTAAATTTGATGGGAATCTGTTTTATATTGTGATCAACTGTTATTCCTTCTTGAGACTACATGAGACTAGTTTTTTTTACGTGCGATTATTACATGTATAAAAAATTTCGATTGCACTTCTGGGTGCACTGCATATACACTATAATTCAGTCATCACATATATAAAAACAATAATTTGTAGATAAAACAACCCCACATTATAAAGCTTTTACGTATATAGCCATCCTTGATTTGTCTTAGAAAACCAAAGTAAATTAAATAAACTTTGAAGTCTCCTTTAGTTGAGTTACAAGCTGAAAAGAGAAAAGAACAAGGGAAAAAACAACATGTGTTGCTCCAAGTTAATGTTTGAGTTTGTCCTTATTTCTTATCCTCCTTTTACCCTTAAAATTTTTAATTATTTGTTTGCCTCACCAGAGCCAAATTTCTTCGATCCTTTAATTATCTGAATTATTTTTCTGTTTCTTGTTTCTCCACCAATCATTAATTCATCGTGTTGTGAACTGACTACTAAAAAATTCAGGTTTTACGCAGCATGCAATGACGTATAATATGCTTAGCTTTTACATCCAAGAGTTTGAAGACTTCCTGATTCATTGTATGAGTCAACGAACTCATTAATCTAATGCTTTGAGAAAGGAATAATCTTGCTCTGTCTGTTGTCTTTGCTTCCCTTTAGACTATCATATTCTCTTGAGTACCACTGTCAAACTGACTTCTGTCAGAGCTAATTAATTCCTCTGTGCTTGTATCTTTAAAAGAAACATTACTCTTAAAACCCTCTATCATTGTGATAACAATAAACCTAACAGCTGATCCTCTTAGTGTAAACTGCCAAACCCAAGGAGCTGCTCCTTACACTTGAGCAGTTGGGTACACCATATGTTTTAGATATGTCCTGGCAGGGCTCTGCAGTTATAAGTAGTTTTCAACTCTGTATTAGATATTTAACCCTCTCTTCTGTCCCAGTCATCAGTTTGACTTCTTTCCTTCCATTGCTCTTCGTCACCTTTCTTCTCAGTCTCTCGCTATCTTATATTTCCTTTTTCTCTTTCAGAAAATTCCCTAGTTTTCTGTTCTGCTTTCTAATTCCTTTCTCAAACAGATTATGAACAGACTAGATATCCCCCCAGTCTCTAAAATCATGTGATGCACTGCCTACAACAAATGCACCAGTTTCATCTTCTGCAGCTGGTTACCGTCCAGCTTGGCTTCTAATATTTCTGCTCTACTGAAGATACGCTCACTGCTCTCCAGGTCCCTTTCCAAAGTCAAACATCAGGACCCTTTCTTAATAATTTTCCTTTTTACCTACTCTTTTATTTTAGATACAAATCAACATTTTAGCCTTTACTTAAATTTTATTCTGGTACACATTTGAAATGAGGCCCTTTTCCTTCTGCATCCTCCCATGACTTCTTCAGCAGTCCTCAAGTTGGTAAAGCAATTTTCCTGAGAAGATTCCCAAGGTTACTAAGCTGGTAATTTATCTTTTAAAGATCCACCTTATGATCACTCACCTGAATCTGACCTTCAATGATCATGAACTGTCCCTTTTCAAAGATGCAAAAAACATACAGCTTATACTAGAAATTTTGCAACCAAATATTTTGTCCTGAATTTGATATGAATCACCAGTTTCCCCAAGGCAATTTCTATATAAGAAGCATTTTCCCATATAAGAAGCATTTTTAAAAAATTGTTTTTCTA